AAAAAAAGAAAGAAAAGATGAGACTGTCTGCTCCTGCAAAAGATGTAAAGCCTTCGAAACCCTATACAGGGTCGCCATGAGTCAAAACTGACTCCAAGGCACTTAACTGCAACAGCTTTTCTAATACAAGCATTCTACTTATTATTTGCTTTTCTATGACACTTACCCCCAAAAGTAACCCACTGCAATTCCAACTTTTAGTTACCCTGTAGAGGATTTCCAAAGCTATCAATCTTTATGGGAGCAGAAAGCCTAATCTTTCTTCCAAGGAGCAGCTGGTGAATTTGAACTGCTGCCCTTGCACATAGCAATCCAGTGCTTACCCTACAGCACCACCAGGACTCTTTTCAATGCCACTTAGAGATTATTTATTGAGTGATTATTAGAACACTGGACATGCAGCCAAGAGACCAAATCTTGGCTCTAACCATAGGCTTATCTTATAGTGGATAAGTTGTTTAATTTCTGGGTCTAGTTCTTCTTTTGGACTTCTGGTGAAGCTCTGTGGATCAGCACTGAATTGTAAACTACAAGGTTGGCTGTTCAAACCCACCAGTTGCTCCTCAAAAACCCTCTATAGGGTCACTGTAAGTCGGAACCTACTGGGCGGCACATAACAGCAACAGCTCTTCATTTGAAGCCCTGGTGTAGTGCTATAGGGTAAGCACTGGACTGCTGGCCTCAAGTAAAACCCACCAGCTGCTCCTCAGAAATCCTATACAGGGTCTCTCTGAGTTAGAACTGACTCAACAGCATATAACAACAACAAATTTCCTTTTTCTTAAATAAAGGGGTCAGCTCTAATTGTTTAATCCATGATTCTACCTTACAATCTCAGTTATTAAAATTCAGAATACTAAAAAATTTATGAAGAGCATTTTACAACCTTTATATTCTCCTCAGCTTTTGTACTTTTCCTTAAACTAATAAAATATGAAAAACACATAAATATACAAAACAGGAATTTATAATTTGGTTTTAACCTTTCACATTTAATCTGAGGAAGAAGAGAAACTACATAAACTAACCAAAAATGAAAACAATTTAGGTTTTAAAAGCATAATGTTCACAAAAGAAATCTACCAGGTGTCAGCTGGGACAGGCTGAAGTCTGGGGCTAATTCCACAGCAGGGACTGGGGTTATCTACAAATTCACCTCCCTTCACACCTGCAGTTGTTGCTGACTGGCCTCAGCTGAGACTGTTGGGTAGAATAACGCCAGGCAAGAGCTCCATGTGACTATTTGGCTTCCACACAGCAAGGTGGCTAGGATCCCAGAGTAAGTATTTCAAGAGAATAATGCAAACATTTATATGGCGTCACCTCACAAGTCGCAGAATGTCACTTATGTCTTACTAGTCAAGAGCATCACAAAACTCCATCCAGGTTCAGTGGCAAGAGCTGTATTTCACTGTAGAAGCAGGTGACATGAGGTATATTGAGGAGGGGCCATCTCTGGAAAATACAAACTATAACAGGCCCTTACACATGAAAAGATATTTATTATAAAAGGAAAAACTGGTATCAGAGTTATGCTTGCTTCATATGGACTGGAGTTTTCCATCTTTTTCTATATTACAGAATGGTTTAAGTAGAATTGGTGTCAGCTCTGAATGTTTGGCAGAATTCACCTGTAAAGTTATCTGGGCCTGGACTTTTTTTAGTTGGGAGTTTATTAATGACTTGATCAATTGCTTTTCTTAGTATAAGCCTATTCAAGTTTTCTACTTCGTTCTGTGTTAGTTTAGGTAGGTCAAGTGTTCTAGAAATGTGTCCATTTCTTCTAGGTTTTCAAATAGGTTGAAGTACAATTCTTCATAGTTTTCTGTTATTGTGCTTTTAATTTCCATTGATTCTGTTGTGATGGCACCCATATTATTTGTGTTATTTGTATCTTCTCCTTATCTTTTTTAAATTTACCAATGATTGTTGATTTTATTAATCCTTTCAAAATAACCAACTTTAAAAAAATTTTATTTTGAATTGAGTGACGATTTATAGACAAGACCATCAGCCTTACATTCAACAAATTATATTATATGCCTTGTTTCATTTTACTGATTACAATCCCCTCCCTGAAACAACAATTATCCTACTTCCTCCCTGTGGCTTCCCTTTTACATTTTATATTTCAAAAAGAAACAAAGCAAAAATATTTGATGTACACATACAAATATATATATTTTCCTTTAAGTGTGCAAAGGGCACATTCTACAAGCCAACTTCCTGCCTGCAGGCACACAGCCTTATTCAGCCCATGGCTTAGAACCTGCTCTGTCTACCACTGCCTCAGTTACTATCTCTTCTGTCTCTGCTTTTCTAGGTAGGATCTCACAGTCTACTCCTGCTCTTCCTTCGTGCTATTCCTGGGATTGTCTGTTCCTGAAATGAAAGATTAACTACTCCCACCTTTAGTTACACATCTTCTACAATTACATTTGTAACATCAGAATTAATCCTGCTAACAGTTACAGTTGAATCATAAAACCCTTATTAGTATCATCCCTCACCTCCTTTCACCAGATCCGTCTTTTCCTTGACAGTTCTTTTGTGTAAGAGAGCCCCCAATTTCAGTCCATATGATCTTGGCTCATGACCTAATTCAAGTCACAAATTCTTGACAACATCCCTGAAATGACGTGCGGCAGTTCATCAGGTGGCACACACGATCAACCTGTCCCATCTCTAGTATGATAACCGTGGTCATGTTGGTTGCCTGCCTAAATATCCACCTCAGGTCATCACTTTCTCCCATATATTTATTTGATTAATATTTTGATGAGAGGTTCCTAGAGTCCATCAGTATCCTGCTCATCATTGAATGTCCACTACCAGCCTTAGTATCATTGACAACTTCCAACTGAATCAGACACCACCATGATGATTGCCATATGGTGACAGTAGGACTCATTGACTGCTCTTTTACTTGTGGGGTTGTAATCTATTATCATTCTTTATTTTGACGCTCAAATTGTCAGTTTGGTTAGTGAAGGCCCCTTAGGTTTTCTCATGTCTTTTTGACACATCCTTGTGGGTTATAAGTTGGGCTGCTAACTGCAAGGTCAGTTGTTGGAATCCAACAGCTCCATGAGAAAAAGATGAGACTGTTTACTCCTGTAAAGATTTACAGCTTCAAAAGCCCTGTACAGGGTCGCTGTGAGTCGGAACTGACTCAGCAACACACAACCACCGCCATCATCAGTCACTGAGCACTTCTTGCTTTCTGGCACAAAAAGGTGTTCCAGGATCATGTTGTACTTCCCTTTCCCCAACCGTGGAATCATCTAGCTCTCCAATGAGCTCTGGTTCTGTTTAGTGGAGGATGACATTTAGAAACAAGTTATAGGTACCTGGTATATTCATTGCTCCTGGGATGGGGGTGCCATTGTTTCTCAGAAAAAAAAGTTCTTGAAAAATATATATGTATAATGGTGGTGGAAGTCACATAATTTTAATATGCTAGGGTTTTTATTTCAGGGCAGTAACCAGCATGTTATCAACTAACTTGTTATAAAATATGTGAGAAAAATAAACTTTTATTTTCTTCCCCCTCCCCAGGTATGTGTAATCCTCGAAATTATAGTGACACGCCTCCAACTTCAAAGAGCACTGTGGAGGAGCTGCATGAGCCCATCCCTTCTCTCTTCCGGGCCCTCACAGAAGGAGACACACAGTTAAATTGGAACATTGTCTCCTTCCCAGTTGCAGAAGAGCTTTCACATCATGAGAATCTGGTTTCATTTCTAGAAACTGTGAACCAGCCTCACCACCAAAATGTATCTGTTCCCAGCAATAATGTTCACGCACCATATTCTAGTGACAAAGGTAACTGCCATTGATTGATTTGCTCTGTCCTTCTCCCTTATTTTCTTCTCAATATAGATATGAACCTATATTAAGGTTTTCTTTTGGAGCAACTTTGTACTTTTGAATTTGTATAGTCTTAAGTAAATTCTGGTTAACAATAACAGTGATCTGATCCCTGAGTCAATAAGGAGGCAGTAATGCCATGTTCTTAATTCTTATATCTTTTCAGTAGACTTTAATTTTCATTTCATAAGATGGTAGCAGTAATACATACTTTAACTAACACAGTATTTGCATTATCATTTGGTAATATTCAGAGTGTCCTGGTGAAGCTAGGTTTTTTGTAGTTGCATTGGTGTCCCACATGATGCCAAGGGCATCAGTATTCTTAATTGAGAAATATAGTTTTGCAGAGAATTCATTCCCAGATATAAACTAGCCCCAGCCAGTTCTCTGCAAATAGATGTGTTGCTCAGAGGGAACTTAATGAGAGAATGAGCCGTACAGATTTGAAAGGCATATTAAAGAATGTTTACTATTGGGGATGGGTCATAGCTTAATTTTAGCGTATAAAGGATATGTGATTTTTCTTTTTGAACATTTTATTGTGTTTAGTTTACACAGCAAATTAGTTTCCCATTCAACAATTCATACAAATTCCTTTCCCATTCAACAATTCATACACAGATTGTCCTATGACAATTGGAGCTATCCCTACAATATGTCAACACCTAACAACTTCCCATTTCCACTCTGCCTTCCCTGGTTTCCCTGCCCCTCCTTGGTTTCGTATCTTTGTCATTTTGCAAATGTTGACTGTTTAGTCTCATATAGTTGATTCTTCTAAGAAGCACATTCCTCACAGGTGTTACTGCTTATTTTTTGTTGTGTGGTTGTCTGACTCATAGTGATCCTATGCACAACAGAACAAAATACTGCCCAGTCCTGCACCATACTCACAATTGATACGTTCGAGCCTATTATTGCAGCCATGATATCAGGCGCTCTTCCTTATTACTTTACAAAGCATGATGTCTTCCTCCAGGGACTGGTCCCTCCTGACAATATGTACAAAGTATGTGAGACAAAATCTTGCCACCTCATTTTATAAGGAATATTCTGGATTTACTTCTTCCAAGGCAGATTTGCTTGTTCTTCTGGCAGTCGGTGGTACGTTCAATATTCTTTGTCAACAACATAATTCAAATGTATTAATTCTTTTCTGGTCTTTCTTATTCACTGTTCAATTTTCACATGCATATGAGGCAATTGGAAATACCATGGCTTGGGTCAGACACATCTTAGTCCTCAAAGTGCTTTGTAACACTTTTTTGAAGTGGATTTTCCCAATGCAATAAGTTTTTTTATTATATTTTATAGGCCAGTCAACTATATGACGAAAGGTGACCTCTGTATGTGACTTTATTTAACTCCAGATTAAAAGAGCATCTTAGGGTAACAGTCTTAGAGGTTCCTGTTTTGTCTCTATCTGTCCAATGAGGTTGTTGTTGTTGTTGTTGTTTTTTAATGAATTTGAATTTTGTTCTATATGTTTCTCTCATTCTAACCTGGTACCTTCAATGTGTCCCTTGTTAGAACTGTTAGCACTGGTAACCAGGCACCATCTAGTTCTTCTGGTCCCAGGCTAAATAGACTGTAGTACATGTAGCCCATCAGTCCTGTGAGGTAATTACTTGAGTCTTTGGTTTCCTTTATAAAAGAATAGTAGTTGTATCTTAAATGTCTTCCTGAAAGCTTTTAAGACCCCACACACTACTCCCCAAATTAGGATGCGGAGCGTTACCTCTATGAACTCTGTTATGCCATTTGACCTCGATGTATTTTGGTATTTTCAAATAAAAGACCACATAATTTTACTTGGAAGAATAAAACAGGAATGAACATTACAGTAATTTCTTATAACATAAAATCAATTTTGCATAGTTTAATTTGTGCTCTTTTTTAATATGTCATGCCCTCCATTACAATCCTACCATTCTAAAACATAGTGGACTTTTTTGGCATCTGTAGTGACAGGAAACCAACTTTTGTTACATGATACTCAGAGGAGGAATCTTTAATATTCTTTTTAAAGTACTTTAAAAAAAAAATTTTAGATTTTGGAAGAATATGTCCTAATAAGCTATTTGCTAACGTTTCCTCATTATTGTTATTTTTAAACCTTTTTTGTGAATTGAGTGAAGGTTTACAGAGCAGATCATCAGTTTTACATTCAACAACATATACTGTGCTTCATTACAATGATTGCCATCCCCTCCATGAACCAGCAGTGTATTTGCTTCTTTATTCACTTTAACTATTGCATTCTGCCCTGTGTCTCCCACTACTTCATCTTTCCTCTGCAAACCTCCCTCTTGTTGTATATTGCCTTCCCTGTCACCCATCTTAATATGCTTCTACCCTGTAGCCCTTGAATAATTTTCCCTCCCTCCTTTCCCCTGTAACCATCATAGATGGTCTATTTATCAAGAAAACCTTTTCTTAACTTTTTATAACATTGGTCTCATACAATATTTATCCTTTTGTGACTGATTTCACTTAGCATAATGTCCTTCAGGTTCATCCATGTTGTGAGATGTTTCACAGATTCATTGTTACTCTTCAATAATTTGTATAGGTACCAAAGTTCATGTAACTATACTGTTGATGCCACGTGTCCCCCATTCTCCCTCTCCGGGAATCTGAAGAATCAGACTCAACTGGTGTTGCTGCTTCTCAAGGATGCAAGCACACCACACTGGGATTTCACTTATAAGATTTATTGGAAAGTGATATTCGCTTCACACACAGAGAAGTGGGTCTGTTTCCTCAAGTGAAGAAGATCCTGGAGAATTGGGAAGCAAGGTTTAGTAAGCTCAGGACTCCTCCCCTAGGGGAGTTGTTTTCCCCAGGGGGAGTGGTTTGGGATGTCTTAATTGGGTTTTGTCTATCCTTTTCTGCATATGTATCAAGTGCTAGGGTTTAATTGTATGCAGGGCAGATACATATGTTAATGATATTACAATAAATCAGTATTTGTCAAAAGGTTGCAGTAAGGATGCGTTCTAAGCTACAAGGTGTGTCCAGGATTTTTGTGGTTGATGTTCCTGGTTCTCTCTGCCTTTCCATTGGTATGGGCCAGGCATGGAGATGCTCAAGATATCCCTAATCTGTTCCTATTATTTTTCTTCCTGAAGAGAGTTATTGTTAGGTGCCATTGAGTAGGTACCAACTCATAGCGACCTTATGCACAGCAAAATGAACACTGCCCAATCCTGGACCAACCTCACTATTGCTGCCATGCTTGAGCCCATTGATGCTGCAACTTTGCCAATCCATCTCGCTGGGGGTCTTCCCCTTCTTCTCTGACCTTCCACCCTACCAAATATGATATCCTTCTCCAGCGACTGGTGCCTTCTGACAATATATTCGAAGTATGAGAGACGAAGTTTGGTCATTCTGGCCTCCAAGGAGCACTCTGGCTGCACTTTTTCCAACACAGATCTGTTGGCAGCCCATGGCACTTTCAATATTCTCTTCCAACACCATAACTCAAAAGCATCAACCATGGCTTGGGTCAGGCACACCTTAGTCTTCAACACTTTAAAAAGGTCTTTTGCAGCAGATTTGTCTAATGCAATATGTCATTTGATTTCTTGATTGCTGCTTCCAAGAGTGTCGATAGTTGATCCAAGAAGAATGAAGTCCTTGACAACTTCAGTCTTTTCTCCGTCGATAAGAATATTGTTGTTTATTGGTCCAGTGGTGAGGAATTTTGTTTTCTTTACATTGAAAAAAATGAAGAGAGAGGAACCTCAAAATCATTTGGGAAGTAGAACAAAGACTCTTCTGACTACTTCCTGCTGATTATGGTGTAGAGAAGTTGAAGTTCTTACTCCACCTCCTAAACTCTCCCTTCATCCTGAGGTTCCTGTACCCTGGGGGTGAGAGGCACATATCCTGCCCTGGCCTTGTCCAGTAGATCCATAATGGTTGGAAAAAGGTTATAACCTCAATGACTGTACAAAGCTTGGATCGTGATAGCCTGAAAGCAAGAAGAAACAAACTTAACTAATGTGTTGAGTATACATGGTCCAAAGAGTAAGTAACAAGAGAAAAATTATAGAATATGTTTCCAGTAGAGTGAGTAGCCAGGCAGCCCATTTCCAGCTTCCAAGCGCCCCGAGATTCTGACAACTGCTGATGGATTTTGGTAGCTCAGTCAGCTAGTTTTTGGGTGGTGTCTCTTCCAATACCAGATTGATTAGCATAGAAACACATTCTTCTTTTAGGAAAAGGCATAACCTTCCCTTTTCTACTGTAAACAGATCTAAGCCTCACTAGTTTTGGAGAGTGACTGCTGTGGGTGAATCTAGCTGATTTGAATAACTACAATATTCTGCAGTTTCTTCCAAACTATCAGCAAGGTCTTTGGACAGGGTTTGATAATATGAGAGAAGTGACAAACCTTTCTGCCCTTGTGGTCACTTTGGTGGTGATTCCTGACCTTACTGAAAGGACAATAAAATATATAGCTTTGTGGGATCCTTCATGGGAAGACAAGGAAATAGATAAAGTTTGCTTGTTAGGGACAATACTATTTCAGGCCAACCTCACAATTGTTGCCACGCTTGAGCCCATTGATGCTGCCACTTTGCCAATCCATCTCTCTAGGGACCTTCCTCTTTTTCTCTGACTCTCCACCTTGTTAAACATGATATCCTGGAGAATGATATCTTGTTTAGTAAACCAACTAGTCCCTCCTGACAATATGTCCAAAGTATGAGAGATGAAGTTTGGCCATTCTTGGCCTCCAAGGAGCACTCTGGCTGCACTTCTTACAACACAGATCTGTTGGTTCTTTTGGCAGCCCATGGCACTTTCAGTATTCTCCTCCAACACCGTAACTCAAAAGCATCAATTCTTCTGCAGTCTTCCTTATTCACTATCCAGCTTTTGCATACATGTGAGGTTATTGAAAATACCATGGCTTGGGTCAGGTGCACCTTAGTCCTCAA